TACAGTGCTGGCCTAGCACACAGGAAGCATAGGTTTGCTCCTAAGTTTCATAAACTTAGTGTGGTGGCACACATCTGTGATTCCAAGACTCAGAAAGTGGAGACAGGAGGATCATAGATCATGGCCATCCTTGTCTACATGGAGAGTTCAAGGGTTGCCAAGGCTACAAGACACCTTGTCTCAAAAAACAAAAACATTGAGCTGGGGATAAACCCCAAAGATAGAAACTTGCCTATCATGTAGGAGGCAATGAGCTCATGCTGTCACTATGATTCTGGTGACATAGTTTTTTACCAAGAGCCTCTCAGTTTTGAGACCTTTGTCCAGGATCATTTCCTATCTCCTTCCAAGTTTCTTTCAGCTCACACCCCAAATCAAACCTCTCCAGGTTTTTAAAAATAATTTATTTAATTTTATGTGTATTGGTGTGAAAATATCAGATCCCCTGGAATCAGAGTTACAAACATTTACAAGCTGTCTTGTAGGTGCTGGGAATTGAACCTAGGTCCTCAGGAAGAACATCCAATGCCCTTAACCACAGAGCCATCTCTCCAGTTTTAATATAAAGAAGAAAGGCTAAGGGTCTGGCCTCCTCTCCTCTGTAATAGTATTCTCAGAGTCAATCCCTTCTCCTGTAGTGAGAATTTTACTTTCTTTAAAAACTTACTTATGGAGCTGGAGAGATGGCTCAGCGGTTAAGAGCACTGTTTGCTCTTCCAGAGGTCCTGAGTTCAATTCCCAGCAACTACATGGTGGCTCACAACCATGTGTAATGAGATCTGGTGCCCTCTTCTGGCATGCAGATGTACATGCAGACAGAACGTTGTATACATAATAAATAAATTTTTAAAAAAGTCATGTTATGTAAACATGTTTTTTTAATCCCAGGTGTAGGATATAGGGATGCTTCAGACTGTCCACAGCAGCAGACTATTTGCCTCATGTGGGCTCTGAGAGGGGCATGATCTTCATAAGCTGTAGATAGTTTAGTTCTGGTGACTCAGAGAGGGAATATATGCCAGAGACCAGAGAGGGACAGGGGCACAGGGTCAGGGGAAGAAAGAAGAGATCTGCTGCTCCTAGTTGCTATTGTTGTGGTTTGACAGGAGGAAGTTAGAGATGTCCAGAAACGGAGAGTGGACTTGCCCCAAGGAACCCGATGTCCCTAACCAGCAGGAAGTAGTCTAAAGAGAATTACATTCCCTCTCCCCACTAACCTTCTTTCTCTCCTCCTGGTGTTGGAGTATTGGAAGGGATTGGGGTGAAGGGAGGTAGAGGCATAAGAAACCTAAATAAAACAGATAAAAAAAATACATGCCAACATTCTCCTTTGCAGGCTGGTATACCTAGTGAAACACTTTCCAGAGTTCTTCTGGTAACTGTATAAATGACCTGCATAGGCAATGAAGGAATAGTGTTGCCATAGCTGCTGGGCCTAGGAAACATCAGCATCACCTGGGAGCACCTGCCAGGGCATCACTTGCTGCAATCCTGGAGGTCCAGGAGGCCCCCGGCCATTTAGAACTGCAAAGGGGCATTCCCCACATATCACATGGGTTCAGATACTGAGATTCTGAATATAGTCTTAGTGCTATACAGAAGTCATCTTACACAGAATACAAAATCCTTCCTAATCCTCCCTTCAATTGCCATGACCATAAGCAGGTGCCCCTAAGATGGCCAGAGATGGGATAAAGACATCTGAAAGGAACAGGGGTCAGGGCTTGGCATGTCTTCTAGTACCGGCCTCTTCGGCAGAAATTAAAGGAAGCACTATACAAGACAACACTGTCTAAAGAGGACCCTGAGACCAGAGTCAATTCACCCACCAAAACTGCCAGAGAGGGGCTGGGAAGATGGCTCAGCAGGTAAGAGCGACTGTTCTGTAAACATGAGGACCCAAGTTCAAATCCTCAGCACCCACTGAAAAGCTGGTGTTGCCATGCACACCTGTAACCCTAGCACTGTGGGAGGCACCTTGTCAGGAGGATCAGGTCTGCTGGCTGCCACCCCAGCTCCATGTTCAGAGACCCTGTTTCAGGGAAACAAGACAGAGAATGGTATTGCAGGACACTGGATGTCCTCCTCTGGCCTCCACACACATGTGTAATATACTGAACACATACAGGTGCATACATTATACATGTGTGCTGTCACACATGTATAAACCCACCACTTAGGCTGAGCTGGGAGTGTCATGAGGTCTAGGACATCAGTGAGATGCTGTGTGAGAAAAACACTGACAAATAAATGAGTAAATTCTGAAAATAAACAACTGGACACTAACACTTATGTCCAACCACTAGGCAAACCTACTGCCCAATGAGGACCTGAATACCAAAATCTTCTCATCAGCCAAACAAGAGTCACCAAATCAATCTGGGTGTAGTGGCACATGCCTATAATCCCAGCACTCCAGGAGGCAGAGGCAGGTAGATCTCTGTGAGTTCAAGGCCAGCAGGACAGCCAAGGCTATATAGAGAAACCCTGTCTTGAAAACAAAACAAAACAAAACAAAACAAAACAAAAAAGAGTCACCAAGTCCAAGCAAAAATCTTCTCAAGTCCTCCCCTGGGAAGTCCTCCCTTGGGAAGTCCCCCTCCCCTGGGAAGTCCTCCTTAGAGCCCAGCAAGCATGATCTGAGCATGGTCACTCTTGTCTCGTTTCTAATTTCATAAACCCTTAGTATTCCTCAGCCTAACATCCCTTGAATGTAAATGAGGCAACCTTGAAGTAAAAGAGGAGACAGAAACTATGGACAGCTACAACTCCACAAGCCTAGCAGCTCCCAGGAGCACCTGTGTGAGGTCTGATATTACCCATGGTGCACCTGCACTCACAAGACTCCAGCATGTATGTATGGGCTGGTCATGAACCCTGCTGGGAGAACTGGAGACAGGGCAGAGGCATCTTATATCCCAAATGCTAGGGTTCCACAAACGGGGAAATGGACCCTTTCCCAGCAGTTAAATAAAAGCCAATTAAAATGACAGCATACTGATTTTTAACTATAAAGATGAATAAAGAAAGGCACATATGTCAAAATAAATGGGCCACAGTTGCCAAGGCTGAAGGCAAATAGAAACACTGCCCTGTCCCTGCCCATCTTTGGAAATGAAGTCACCAAGAACCTATACGTGTCTGCCCTTAACTTAATCCTCCACTCCTCGAGACTCAGATGAAATAACTAATTAAAAAGAAAATGTGGAAAACCATTGGGAAGAAAGGTTTTTAGCAGTAAAACTTGGACATCGTAACAGCTAGAAAATTATAAGCAAATGTACATCAGTTGGAGAAACACTGGTGTGTAATTTAATGAAACACGATATAGCTATTTAAGGGGGAAAGGCTATATGTGGGATTGTGTTAGCCAGAGAAAAAACAGAACAGAAAATTGTAAAATTATACACAAAGTGATAAAGATTGGAAGGAACCACAGAGAAACACAAGAGGCTGTTTGCCCTAGAGGAGTACAGATGATGTGTTTCTCTGTAGTTCCTGTGGGGTTTTTTTTTGGGGGGGGGCAAAGGGGGATAACAGCCATTTAAAGAAGTGACTCTGGCCTTTTCAGAGAGATGGGCTTGTCACTATCGGCTGGGAATCAGAAGGCTAACTAGTGACTGTTAGTGTATGCCATGTGGAGTGTCCACATGACTGACCCTCCCTGGGAAAGGACAGGAAGGCCTTCATCAGGCTCCTGTCTGGGCCAGGGAGACACAGACAGAAACCAGTTCATTTTGCAAGGGGGTCCATGGAAGCAAAAACAGAGGACACTAGATAAGGGGAGAGTGTTAACAATTCTATGACGTTAAACACCAAGGTCAATAATGCAAGAATCCAATGTGAGAGGATGCAAATTCCCATTTGCTAGTTACATTTATATCTTGCCAGTGTGCAGATAAGTCTCAGGTTAAAGCAATCTCAAACGTCATGTGTTCCACTCAATCTGGAGGTAGGTTAAAGAAACTTCCTGGCTCACAGGTGACTTGCCCACAGTCACAAAATCAAGACATTCTGGGACAAACACCCCACTCCTCTGCTGACTGACAGGTGTGCACCACATGCTCTTGAGGCTCAGAATACTCCTGTTGTGGGGTCTTGCTGGCTGGCTGGCTGGCTGGGGCTACTGTGCCTTGTGCCACAGCCTGACTCAGACCCTACTACCCACCAGGCTCCACTTGCCCATTCCAGGGGGACTCATTCAGGAGGACATCAGAGCAGCCAACCGAGCTAGTCTTGGTGTCACTAAATTCAATTCCACCAACCACTGTGAAGTTCTTCCTAGCAAGGCCATCACGAAGCGGTAACTCATGTGCTTGGCTTTGTAGATGGCAGTCTCAGCCTTGATATTTCCCGGCTATGGGATATTGACTCCTTGGTACTCTGATCTGTAAAATGGGTACGCTAAGAGTCTCTGTGATCGTACCACTATGAGGGTGACATAAGGTAAACAGAGTGAATATAAAATAACCTCTCTGAGGTAGTAAGACTCCTTAAAGCCAGGACAAACACAAGACACCTTGCAAATGCAGGGTTCTTTACATAGTAGCTATCACTGTAATAAGACAAGTATTAAACGTCCTGCCAGTGGAGTGGATTTTTCCCCAGGGAAGGGCTAAAGAAGGGTTTTGCCGAGTTGGAAAGGCAGATGCCTTTCTGACAGCCTCTGTTACCCATGCTACCCTCTGCTTCTGCTCATGCTCATAAATGCTCTTCCGGCCAAGAAATAAGTCGGAATCACTAGTTTCTTCCCTTTGATCTCCAAAATCCAATGAAAGCAAGAGTTAGGCCATTGCTTTTTACGCTGGCTGCTTGGCTCCTCCGGCTCCATTTTAGGAGGATGTGGATAAGTGAGAAAGAAGGAAACTGTATGCTCTCCAGGCTGAGCTTTGGCCTGGTCGCTGTTAGCCCTGGGGCCTGTGGCTGGCGTTTCCATTACCCTGGCCTGTCTCTGCTGCCCACTCCGCTTCCCCCTCACCATGTCCCAGTGCCCCACTCACAGCTCGAGGATGAGCACCACGTCGGTGCGGTTCTCATAGACGTCGTGCAGCGTGATGATGTTGGGGTGCAGCACCTGCCGCAGGATGCTCACCTCCCGCTCGATCTCCTCCCGGCACACGCCCCGACGGCTGGCCCTGCTCTGCCTCTTCTTGATGAACTTGGCCGCGTACTCCAGCCCTGTGCTCCTCTCCCGGCATTTCTTCACGATGGCGAACTGGCCGCTGTGAGGACACAGATACAAACAGCTAAGGTGTAGAAACTGGAGAAGTGACCCCGCAGCCAGCTACCAAGACAATCCGCAGACAGAAAGGCATGTCACCGGCCAGTGGCCCTGCCAAGCTAACATGCAGTAAATGAGGTAGGGCAGGGACTGGACTTCCCTTCTGTTCCTAGGAGACCGTTACCTTTTACCAGGATGGGATGTGAATATCATTGTTCTGGGCATTCAAAGGTGAATACCAAGGCCTGGGAAGTATTTCATTGGTTAGGGTGACATGGCCTTGTCCTTGCAAAGCCTCAGCTTGGAACCCAAGTCTACACTGTCACGTAAACAGGCTGAGTTGGTGAGGATCCTGTTTGGAATGGGGGTTGGGATAAGGCCACTTGGCAAGGTCAGCCATCATTATAGTGTGAAGAGGGCTGTAAAATTTGGAAACTGGGGCATAAGGAGAGGTCGAGTGACTCACGACAGAATTAATGAAAAGCAGGACATCAAAGCCGGCTGCCCACAAACCTTCTCAGATAGTTACTGGCCACATGACCCTGCTCAGACTCCTTGAGACAGAAAACATGAAATGGTGACCACGCCAGAGATCCAAGCACCCCTGAGCCTATTTCCCTAAGAGTCGGATGGCAGCCCAGCCAGTACCTCTCCATTCAACTCGGCCATTAGCTGGGACAGATCCAAAACCCTGACTGCTAGTGTCCTTTCCTTATCCTCTGAGGTCTTCCCTCTTACCTTCCACATTGTCCCTTGTAGCTCCATCCCCCCCACACTCAAGTACCCACTGCCTGGGTAGCTCAAAAAAGGTTATTATTCTGGTAAATGGCTTAATAAGAGGCCCAAAGGAGCCAGAGCCCAGACACATCTTCTTAGTGGACCTGGTGTAAAAGTTACAGTTGTGAGAAACTCTGGGTATTTGTCACAACTTTGGAAAATGGCACTGAATTTAGAGCACCCTATTTTTAGAAAAATCTTTAAAGAGATGGTCTTCTGAATAGACTGGCCGACACAATAAAGTGAAGCTGAGCAAGCAAGCAGCTAGCCAACAGCTAAACAGCCTGTTAGGGCAAGCACTTGAGAGGTGTCGCCAAAAGCAAATCCATTCATCTCCACCTTCGGCCTTCACTCAACACTGTCTGAGCATGTGCCCAGTGCTGGCTGGAAAATAACAGGGAACAAAGGCACAGACAACAGGTGCAGAGGGGCCCCTGGGGGAGCAGAGATCTCTAGGAGCCAGGCCTGGGGCCAAATTTACATTACACTAGCCACAAACTCTAAAGTTTCAACTACCTGGGCTTTAAGTATTGGCCGTGAGCTGTCCACACACTAGGGGCTGAGGCAGGTGGAGCCAGAATGGGCACATGCAATGTGATCTCTAACACAGCCGGCCACTTGGAGCCACTCTGGGTCTTGGGGACATAAGGTCCCTGAATAAGTGCCAGAAAACACTTGACAAAGCTTTCAGGCCCAGGTGTCCCGAGTCTTAGCATCAGGCCAGCATATTCCCCTCCTTCTGGTACCTCGAAGGCTGCTGGCAGGCCTGGCATTCCAGAGTTCCTGTAACTGTCCCCACACAATCCTGAGTGAGTTGATGGACGGAGAAAGTGAAACTCATGGACTTTAAGTTGTATACCTGCAGGTAGCACAGAGTTAGGTCTGGCACCCAAGTCCCCCAGCACCCACCTTCAAGCTGTACTACGTGATGACCTGGGAAGATAAAAACACAGAGTTGCAAAGCAGAGCTAAGGTTTCAGGTCACCTTGACATTGCATCTCCTTGGTCTTATGAGGGGAATGGAGACATCTTTCTGCCATGTGACTGAAAAAAAAATTCCTCAAGCTCTCAAAAAGCAAGGGAGTGTTTGCTTTTGCCTCTTAGTTTCTCCAGAAGAGTATGAGAATAAGGAGTGGGGCAGGTCTACTCTTCCTCCCTCAAAAGTCGGTGACTAGGACGGGGCCAAACCCCAGGCAACACCAGCCATCTTCTCTGGGGAAGGGTGCCCCACTTAGGCTTTGGGGGCAGCTGGAAAAAGAGCCACAGCCTCAGGCTGCCTTCCCCTAGCCTGTGGCTGTTTTGGGAAGAGCAGAGAAAGCTTTCCACTAGGTCCATAATGCAATGACTGGGATCTGGGAAACTGGGACAGCTTTCAAAGTTAGCCAGGCCTGCTTCAGAGGCTTCCTTATGTGGTCATGTGTGTCAGGCCACTACCTGCTCTGAGCATTCGTTTCTTGACCCGTGAAGTGGGAGTCGGTGTGATTCACTGCTAGACAGTTGTAAAGGAAACATTTGAGCCACTGGCTCACGTCGGTCGGAACAGCTGGCATAGATGAGGGCTGAGTAAGAGACACCTAGGGTTGGAAGTCACTGCTTCCAACGGTCAGGAATGTGTGGCCAGGGAATCGATGTAATTTGAACAGTGCCCTTTCGCCCGAAGCCAGTGCACACCCAGATGCGGGACTACTTCTACTCTCATGAATTGTATTAATTAGCAAGAGCAATTAATTGACTCTTTCCATTCCAGAGCAGTAGGACTCAACCCTGGGGACATTCTAGAAGCCCCGGGGAAATTATAAAACCAGGCGGTCTGGGTTTCAAATCCAGAGATTCCAAGTGCATTCTGGGCTGTGACCTGCATGAGGACATTTAGCCTTTTGTCTTACTCTGGTTTTGTTTTTTGAACCTTACTATGTCATTCATCCAGGTCGTAAACCACCCTCCACCCTAGCCTCCCAGTGCTGGGATTACAGGCATGCCCCCCTGTGCCTAGCATCTTGGTTACTCTTTTTAGGTGTCTAGGCTGGGAACCACGAGTCAGACCGGCTCTCCTTCACAGATGAAGAACACCCCACCCACACTAAGGTCACTGTTGTCCCTGGCCTTATAGTAAATTTCCGAGGAGGCCTCTTCTAATCCAGTTTCATTAAAGAAGACAAGGGAATCAGATGGGAAAGAAGGCTTTCCTCCCATCAGGTTCTGCTTGATGGGATATAACTGCCGTGATAGTAACCTACTATTAAGGTCAGAATTTGATGCCAGCTAGTGGCTTGCTGTACCCTGCCTTTACTATGTTTAAGTATATGCCCTGTATCCCTGGTCTAGCCAATACTTTTAACATGAAAGGGTTCTGGATTTTGTCAAAGGCTTTTTCTGCATCTAACAAGATAATCACATAGTTTATTTTTTCTTTCAGTTTGTTTATGTGGTGGATTACTTTGATGGATTTTTATATGTTGAACCATCCCTGCATCCCTGGGATGAAGCCTACTTGATCATGGTAGAGGATGTTTTGATGTGTTATTGGATTTGGTTTGCAAGTATTTCATTGAGTATTATTGCATCAATGTTCATGAAGGAAATTGGTCTGAATTTTTCTTTCTCTGTTGAGTCTTTGAGTGGTTTAGGTATCAGGGTGACTGTGGCCTCATAGAATGAATTTGGCAATGTTCCTTCTGTTTCTTTTATTGCGGAGTTCAAGGAGTATTGCTGTTAGCTCTCCTTTGAAAGTCTGGTAGAATTCTACGCTAAAACCATCTGGCCCTGGGCTTTTTCTGGCTGGGAGATTTTAATGACTGTTTTTATTTCCTTAGGGGTTATATGTCTATAGATGCTCCACCATACCACAAGGACATTTGCTCAACTATGTTCATAACAGCTTTACTCATAGTACCAGAAACTAGAAACTATTAAGCTGTCCCTCAGCCAAAGAATGGAAAAAGAAAATGTGGTACATTTACACATGAAATACTGCTTGGCTATTAAAAACAAGGACATCATGAAACTTGCAGGCAAATGGACGGAACTAGAAAAGATCATCCTGAGTGAAGTAACCCGGACCCAGAAAGAGAGGCACGGTATGTACTCAGTTACAAGTGGGTGTTAGCCATAACGTACAGGATAACTATGCTCCAATCCACAGACCCAAAGAAGCTAAGTAACAAAGAGGGGCCAAGGGAGGGTGCTTGAATCTCACTCAGAAGAGGAAATAAAAGAGACATCTGAAGTAGATGGAGGGAGGGCTATGTGAGCACATACAGTTATTCTCTTTACAGGATAATCTTACAGTCATTCTTTTCTTTGTATTTGAAGATACAGTGTAATGGAAGTCTTGGTTTCTTTGTATGTTATGTAAAAATACTTCTGTTTTAATCCCAAGTGTGGGATTTTAGCTGGGCTATAGTTTGTCCACACCTGTTAACTGTCACATGCGGGGTGTGATCTTTGCCAGCTGGTAACAGCCTTCCACTTGCTTCGTAAGGGGGTGTGGTCTAGGACTCCGAGAGTATTAAATATGAGGCCAAGAAAGAGATTGTGTGGCGTTTGGTGGATTCGGTGTTGGCATATGGCGTGGAGAGTTTGGAGAGACCAGAGACAGTTTAGAGCAGACAGAGGGAGAGTAACGCTTCAGGGCACAGTGGCGTGGAGGGGCCTGCTAGCTGCGTCTGCAGTTGATGGAGACTGGTATAAAGCTCTAAAAGACCTCTTGACTATGACTAGTGGGGAGAAGTGAAGGGGTCTGGTCCCCTCTCCCCAGTAACCTTTCTTCTCACCTACTTAAGGTTGGGGAATTGGTGGAAGGGAGGTAGAGGCCTAAACGCCCCAAATAAAGTAGTTTTAAACAAGAGCACCACCGGTGGCTTTCAGCTACAACACAATCTTGGTTCTGTTTCCTAGATCAGAAGATTGGGAGAGCTGGCAAGATGGCTCAATGGATAAAGTGCTTGCTGTGCAGGCGTTGGATCCCTGGAACCTGCAGAAATGTGGAGGAAGAGAACTGATTCAACAACGTTGTCCTCTGACATCCACAGCCATGCCCATACACAAGTCATACACACACAGTTGTAAAAAAGAGAAACCAGGGGTCGAAGAGGTGGCTCAATGGGTACAGATACTGGCTGTTAGTGTCACACACACTCCTGAAGTTTGTCTCTTCACAAGTGTGCTGTACACACACACACACACACACACACACACACACACACACACTACATCAAGTAAATG